CGTAGCACTTTCTAAGCTTCAAACACACTATGACACTAGTTTTTGTTTTTTTATTTGTTTGTTGTTGTTGTTTTGGGGGGGGAACAAGGTCTTTGCAGAGATCAAGCTCAAAAGGACACACAAAAAGGCAAATAAAACCCCAAACCACCCCCACCCAGTTACCTGCAGACACAGATCTAGCTGGATCACAACAAGTTAATGGGGAAGGAATGGTGTGGCAGGTGTCTTCCCATACGGTTTTGTTTTAATGATGGCTTTGATATGGAGAGCAATAATTCTGCCTGTTTTGTGCTTTAGGGCTGCCCATGGGGGGATCAAATTAGGGTGACCACTTTCAGCCTAAAAATAAAGACACTATCTTGCATGTCCTGACTTTTTTTTTTTTTTTGGGCTCACCAAATTATATATTTTGGGGGAGAAGCAGATGGGCTAAAAATAGAGATAGTTTCTCCTTGTACTTTTATGGAAATGATGCATGACCCCTAACCTACCACTTTTAGTTAAGATCTGAAACTAAAAAAAAAAAAAAAAAAAGCCGAAGTCAATGCAAGTGCTGAACAACAGCTGCTTGCACCTGGCTCGGGCAGCTTCAAATGCACCATAATGGAAATGCTGACATAACCTTATTTGTTGATGCCATTCATGCCACTGACAAACGGTGCACAGAGATTATATATTTTCATAGTGCAGTTCCTTCTTAACGGACAGTATAGCTAATGGGCCACCTCTTCTCCCTTTGGCCATCACACTGACCACTCCCCTCTCATTTGCATAACATTCCTATGGCAACTGCAGTGAACGTTTACATGGAAAAATGCTATTAGGAATGCAATTTCTGGTCATCTTTTAAAATGATTAACAGCTGAATAAAAGGAGGAGAGCCAACACCATGTGACCTGCCAGTTTTTCACAGACCATCAGCAGTTTGCTGGTTTGAACTAGAGTAAATGTTGGATTCTCTGTAACTTGAAAAATTTAAACCAAGATTTGAGGCTCTGAGTAACTCAGATAGAGGTATGGGCCTACTGAAGGAGTTCTGTGGCCTGCAATGTTGCAATAGGTCAGTCTACATGATGGTCCCTTCAGGCCTTCAAGTCTATGCAGCTATAAGTACTGCATACGCCAGTTTGGGAGCCTCTGATGGATGGTAATCTGGGTTTGCAAACACAACCCACATGGCTGAGAACGAATGATGGGACTCTAGCGATTTAGCAAAGGATAAGTGAAGGGTAGGAACACTCTGTATTTGAGAGACTCAGAGCTATTTTGCATTTGGTGCATGCTTTTTGCTCCTCTAACATGACTCAATTCTGTGAGGTGCCATGCATTCTGGCCCCAATCCAGAAAGCACATGCTCAGCTAAATTGTACTGTTCACATGTTTAAAGTTAATTATGTGCTTAAATGCTATGTTGGACCAGGGACAGAATGTTCAGCCCTCTTGCAGGATCAAGGCCCTGTTGCCTTTCAGGCTCGTAGTCCCACAGTAACATATACAAGTTATGGGAAAAGGAAGTTAAGATATGAAAATAAAAGTAAATAATGTAATTTTAAATAGTCTCATGAGCACCACGAGGTTTGCCCAGCCACATTCTGAGTAAAAATAACACTGTAAAGTGAATGTGGGGAAAAGTAACTGTAAAAATTGAGAACATCGTTCACTTACAGCTATTGAAGATGGCTGCTAGAGCTTTGCTATTGACTAAAAAGGCCACCTGACCCTGTGAGATTAACTAGAAGAGCCTCAGCAGAGGGTAGCAAACCATAACACTTCTAGGACAAAAGACAATTTAAAGAGCATAACAAAGCATTTGATTTTAATGGGGCTGTCTGGTTGTAAATGAAGGCAGAATTTGGCCTATACTCTATAGACTTCAAGTTTTAGTTCATAAAGGAGGCGGGAAAGCCTCATGAATTGAATAAGCAACCTCAAGAGGGCTAAAATTCCTTTATCTGAACAAAGTATTCATACAGGCTCATGGACAGAATGACCCAATCCTCTATCTCTAAACTGGTGACAGTATAAAACAGTTGAATGGCATATCCATTAAACTGCCTTACTGAAGAGATATAAATAGAGGGAAATTAAGATACTGATCTTGGCCTAAAAATGATTGTGTCCTACTTATTTTATTTTCAATTGGAAAGCTTGGTCAGCTGTGAAAAATGTTTACTTCATTGATATCACTAGTAAATGTTAAATAAACTGCATTAACAATGAAGTAGCAACAAGAAAGTTCCTTAACTATACAGTAGTCCCTTTGATTAACTAGCTTTTCAAATGTGATGTTTTGGAACATAAAATGAAGCACAGAAACAGTGCAAATGCATCTGTTTACTGAGATTCATCTTTAGTTAGCTTGATCAGTTTGCTACTTTCTCACTGTTCAATAGGGAAGGTGAGAACCAATTTGCCAACTAAAGAAAATTAGTTTCCTATTGGCACTGGGTTATTATGGGAGAAATTGCTGTGTAACTTTAAAATGCTTTCACTTCTGAGATCAGCATTCAGAAGTTGAACTGAGGTAGGAAAGAGATAAGGTTAAAATCAAATGATTAAGAAGAACAGTACAGAAGAAGAATTTACTCTTTGAGCATTATATGAAAGGAATTTTGCTGATTTGAACTGTCTCTGGCGAGATGATTTTCCATCACAACTATTTCCACAAAGGTATTGTGCATTGCACTGGTAGAATTTCACAGCCTCATTTCACCCCGAATGAAGCCGCATTTCAGTAATTACATATTGAATCAATTGTACAGGAGTGTTTCAGACAGTGCCCATTGGACTTTAACATGAATGCAATGAGTATACTTTCATAAACTTTTTTTAAATTGCATAAATACAACAATAAATGGACAGACCAAATTTTGGGCCTACTATTGAGCATGACATAAATACTTAGATTGATCTGTCACTAGTACTTATCAGAGTTGTGGTTTTTTAAAATGGGCAGGGAAGCACATAAGAATTTGGCTTTGGTATTTCATTAATTTAACCTTCTAATCTAATGTGCCCCTGATTTGCCCATCTGGGACTTAAGTCCCAGTGAAGCTAATAAAGTTGACAACTTACAGTGAAGTCAACCCAAGACAAGTTTTGTTCCCAAAAAAGGACACTTTAGGTCCAAAAAAAGGGTTTGATTTTTATAATGATTTCAACCCTTGGGGGAAGAGGGGAGGAGGATCTAAGCCAAGGGTCTCAAACTCAAATGACCACAAGGGCCACATGAGGATTAGTGCATTGGCCCGAGGGCCGCATCACTGACAGCCCCCCTCGCTGGCCCCGGCTCCGCCCCCACTCCATCCCTTCCATGAGGTCCCGCCCCTGCCCTATCTCTTCTCCCCCTCCCCCGAGCGTGCTCCTCCCCCCTCCCTCCTGGAAAGTGCTAAGCATTATACAGAGCATACTGATCACTGCTGCTCCTACAACAAGTCATTTCCAAGCGGTTTTAATAAAATATATACACTCAGTAAGGCACCTCACTCAAAGGACAAAACATGCACTTAGTTAGATTTACTTCTGTTAAAGCCCCCCCACTGCACTGGGCTGCACCACCACTCCACCCCTGCTCTGCCTCTTCCAGGGGTGGCAGATTTGTAGAAATTTTGGTGGTGCCCAGAAACTGCCCCCCC